CCTGCTGCCAGTGAGGAAGCCATGCCTCAAAGATGTCCCCTGGATCTGCTGGATGCTCCAAAGTCAGCAGCTTTGTGTAACCTTGCTTATGTTGGCAGCTTTGATGTATCCACCACTGCCAGAATGTAGATAACCTAAGCCCTTTCCACTTCACCCTCAGAAGGTGGCAATGTCAGCCCTTCCCAGGCTCTGGGCTCTAGCAGGTCCAGGTGGAGATACTGCCCAAGCTCCTCAAAACAATGCACACCTAGAGAACAGCTGCACTGCCTAGCATTCTGCTCCCTCAGTCTTGTCCTCCATCTCTTCTGGGCTGATTACCATCATCTTCTCTGCGTAACTGCCAACTTCCCAGACACCTTTCCCAGTCTGACCAGGCTTGAGGAAGAGTTCTCAGGATCCACCTGCAAATGTCTGGCAGGCAAATTCCCTCCAGAGAGCCAAGTTCTCGCACTGTTGACAAACCACCTTTCACTTCAGAAAGCACTTTGACTCCTCCTCTGTTGCCCAGCATCAGGCACAGACAGCCTAGGATGTGCAGATGGGATTAACAGGAGTTGGGAGGTGTTGCAACACAGAATGTCCTTGCACTGGCCATCTTTCCAGGATTGTCCATTGTGGATTTTGTAATGTAGTCCCACATGCACTGGATCAATGAACGACCGACCTTCCAGCACAGAGACATGTAGATTTTATTCTCTGAGGAGGGAATGACCCTGGCTTCCTGTTCATAGCCTTGTACTAGCTATGTAACTTAGGGTAAGTCAAATCTTTCTCTTTCCTTACCTGAAAGTGATGGAGAGACAGGAAGGACTGAACTTTGCTAGATCTACCTGCGCTAGATATCGTCCCACCCCCACCTCCACGTTGGGGATCAAACCCAGGACCTTGCGCTTGCCAGGCAGGCGCAGTGCCACTGAGCTACAACCCCAACCCTACCTGCTCTAGACTTTAACAGATTTGCTCAAGGACGAATATCCTTTGTCTTTGCAAGGATGTGGAGGGGCCTGCCATCATGGCACGGCCGAGGCAACCTCTTGTCCAGCCTGGGAAATCCGTTGGCCCAGAGTCCCAGCCTTCTTCAGTGCTGGCATCTGCTGTGTGAGTCTAGCAGAGGCCTCGGCTCCAGGTCCCAGCTGAGCACCCATCAGAACCCCCAGGGAGGGGTGGTGACTTCCTACCCTTGCTGATGGAGGACATCTTTTCCATCCAGAAAGACAATGGGTTTGGGGACAGTCCAGCCCTACAGCCGGCGACTACTAAAATGAGCACCCCCCCAAAAAAAAGTAAAATGAGTTACCACTCAGGGAGGACTTCTGTCAAACCAAAAGGAAGGGGAGATGTCTTTAGCTTGTTTTTTAGAAGGGAGCCCCTGGGGGCTGGCGGCAGGGCCTAGAGTTCTGTTGCGTGAAAAGCTATGGCTCCCACTAGCGGGACCCTGGTCCCAAAAACAGACCGCAGGCAGCCTGCCAAAGTAATGCATCTTGAAGGTCAGTGTTTGCGCCCCCGGCAGAGCTTCCCTGACTGGTGTGGCCCCAGCTTGTTCAGCCGCGCACCCAGGCAAGGGAGCTTTCGGCGTCCCCCTCCCCGGAGGCCCGGAGGAGTAACAAGCAGGCCTCCTTCCTCCGAGGCAGACGCGAGCGCCAGAGCCCGCCTTGCTGAGCCAACAGGCGGCTGAAGCCATACGAAGCGCATTAACTATTAATAATTTCCAGTTGTTTGCTTGCTCCCCTAGGCCTCTGCAGGCTGGGACTGGCTTCCCTGGACCGCCAGCTCTGGAGACATTAGCGCCTGCCGGGCTCTGCTGGGGAGGGGCAAAGGGTCACCGTGTCCCCCGGGCCTGGGCTCAAAGGGGGGCTTCCGCCGCTAGGCTCGTATGGAGAGCCCTGAGCTACGAACGCAGCACAGTGCTGGCGGCGCACGGCGGGGGCGCAGCGGCCCCTAGCGCCCGTACTCCTAGCGCGGCTGCG